ATGCATCAGTAACATCAGTAGCAATGCATGAATGAAATTCTGTCAGTTTCCCTGTTCAATGGTTTGTTGTCGGTGAAATGACATGCCCATTTGAGAAAGATCAAAATGGCGTACGATTTGGAAAATGTTTCCCGCATTTTGCACAATTATGGTCATCGAAATGTTTTAGTTCAGCAAACAATGCGGTAATCTGCACAGAAAATTGCAAACTATAATCTTTAACTGATTTTGACTGCACCGTGACAACTACTGCTGACGCGGCAGCGAAGTGGAGTGGAGGTATGTGCGCGGGTCGGATGAAGATGGTGAAAGTTAGAATGAGAGAAGTAGATTTAATATGGTTATGTCAACAAGGGTTGGAGAGAAAGATTGTACACCTGTCCAGTAGAATGAGAGATTTTTTTCTTTCCAGATGAATGAACTTGTACCCAGACAGTGTCAATCAGTGCAGCTTTTCGCTCATTATGCGCATGCCACCAGTTTGCAAACAACCACCGCGAATAGGATTTGGACCAAAGGCTGGAAACTGAGATTTGGTATACCCCCCCTTCAGGACCTTCTTATAATATTGTTGTCATCTTATATAAGTACCCGAACTGGTTCTCAGATAGTTCAATTGCTTAATAACAGCGACACGCTTTTTAAATTTTTATTGACTTAAGAAGTGAATTTTTTGTAAAAGAAAGGCTGTACAGTAATGAAACAAATTAGTTCCAGAGCACTTGACCAGCATCGTTCTGTGGTTAGGCACTAAGAAATTGCATGTACCTCAATCTTTTAAGCTAAGATTATTCTAGCGGGAATATGACGCATTTTTAGGTACCTGAAGGTGGAGTGTGACGTATACCATGGCCATGGTTATTTTAAGAAGCAGTGCTTCGCATTCATTTACATTATTACGTCGACTTGATTACATCAACTGCTTGTAGCTAATCTGGGCGCGTTGCGTGAAACAGTGTTCTGTTTTTGATGTAACTTTCAGCCTTATTATGTTTTATTAAATATAAAGAAAAAGAGATTGAAGTTTTACTGTGATTGTTGATGTCCAAGATGTAAAAAAGCTTTCTGAAAAAACTCTCCCCCTAGAACACTGACGTCCGAGGTCAACATTTGATTAGATAACCACAAGCCACTTCTTCCTGTCCCTTCGCTGAGGCTTTAACCATTTCCGATGCTGCAAGTTTTTTTTTAATAGGTCATCACCCCCATCCCCCTATCCCCCATGCATCCTCGATCTAGGTTACAACTGTTTTTCGTCTGATCGGGTAAATAACAGAATGCTCGAAGCTGGTTAATTTTTATCAGCCTTCATTTTTTGCTTATAAAGCACCAAAACTGTATGATTTGATTTTTCCGATTACAGACAGAAGATGTTTTGGTTCCAAGCGGCAGAATAACCCCCGGCTCTCTTTTTCTTCAGTTAGATGAGCGCAGTGACTGTTACTGATTTGTACGCCATATATCCCCCCCGCATACCTTTTTTGAGTCACTTTCAGCTTCAAAAAGGTACTATTGGGCCATTTCGTGGCCCAATGGTGTGTTACTGTGTTTTTAGTGTTGGATGTTTCATCAGTTGACTGCCTGATACACACAGCATATATCTAGTACTCCCGTACTAGGCCTATGTCACGGCGTTTTTACGAACCAGTTTATTTTTAGACACATTTTAGGGCACTTTTTCCCGCGAAAATAGAATCTCTACCATGACTATGAGCGCATTCGAAGTATAAGATATCAAAAAGAGAAACTAAAGGTCTGTAGGTTTTGCTAAGTGGTTTGTGAAATTTAAAAGATATTCAAAATTCGCGCTAAAAACCGTTCTAAAAATAAACTGGTCCGTGAAAATGCCATGGCACGAGCGCATGGAAGTTGCTCGCTCCGGGTAATGGGCTCCTGTCCAACCTCTGAATTATTGCGTCCCAGAGCTTTACAGTAGCTTCGATCAATAGTAGACGCACGTGGCCTACATGTGTATCAACTGCTGCGACAACAGTGAAGGAGAATATAAGAAACGAATGAACCACTTTAAAAGATTCCAAAAAAAGAAAAAACCAATCAGAAGAATAAAAACAAAAAAACAAAAGAAACGAAATTACTAAGACATAGGAACTCAAAGGTAAAGAACATAATGCTTCTGTTCAAGGCAAAAAATCTTCTGTTTGTTTGCTTGTTTTTGTTCACTTTTACGGGCGGAGTAATGAAGCCTCGGAATATCCTCCTCAGGTATGGTGATTTGCCAGTAGCCCTTGCTAAGATCAGTCTGCGCGAAAAACTTATCACCACTCAGCTTCTGGAACAGGCTAGGTGTTCGGCGGTCGGCATAGGTTCAGGGTCAATAACAGTCAGTTTATTTAGCTTCCGATAGTCAAGGCAGACCCGATTGGTATTGTCTTTCTTCTTCACTACAACAACAGGCGACGCATAGGGTAAATCAGACTCCCTGATAACTCCCATTTTAATCATATCGGCGATGTCTTTCTTCAACGACTCCCTCATGCTGTAAGGAACAGGATATGGTCTTGACCGAACAGGCTCATCTGAGGTAAGTTTGATGTGATGCTGGGCGAGGTCTGTAGTACCTGGCGCCTCGGTAAATAGACTTGAAAACCGATTGGCTAGGTCCATAAACTCAGAACGCTGTTCGTCAGTAAGATTTGACCCGGTGGTAACATCTGCAACAGATTCCTTAGCATCATAGCCACAGATCTCTAGGAAATCAACATTATCATCATCCTCCGCATCCTTTACTTCACTTTCTTCAATTTCACAGTGCATATCTTCCTTAAAATGATCATCTGCTTTTACCACCGCTACTGCTCCTTCTGTTGTAGCTTCATCTCTTTCAAAATACTTCTTGAGGAGACTCGCGTGGTAAACTTTCTCCTTTCCTTTCACTTTAACTCTGTAGTCGTTAAGGCCTACTATTGAACTCACTTCAAAAGGACCCTTCCATAGACTGCGAGCAGTCTCTCTTTTTCTTCAGATTTAGTGAGAGCAATGTACGCGCGCGTGAGCGGCGAAGCCGCGAGACGCGCGAAATGAGGGCGGCATCAATTACGCGCGTGGCCATTTGCGTGTCTCGCGTTTTGCTCGACTTACCACAGAAAAAAAGAGAGACTTCTCGTAGTCTAACCCTTCCACTGCATCAGCAACTTATTGTGATCAGTTGGTAGTAGCACAAGAGCTTTCTCACCAGGCTGAAATTTTCTGACTCTAGTCTTTCGATGATAATAGTGCTTTCCTTTATCTTGAGCCTTCTGTAACTGACTGTGGGCTAATTTAAGGGTTTCCTCCAACTTCTCTAGCAGCTCAAAAACATACTGGTAGCTGTTTTTAACTTCCGATTCCTCCACTTCTTTCGTCCAAAGCTCCTTAAGAATGGTCATCGGACCTCTAACGGCTCTTTCATACAACAGCCCAAACGGTGAAAGTAGTAGACTCTTGAGGAACCTCATCATAACCGGGGTTGATAAAGCGATGCCACATAACATAACATAAGCTTAACATAAGCTTCATTGTTCCGTTGAACTTCTCACTTAAACCATTAAACATAGGATGGTAAGGAGTGGTTGTGATCTCCTTGATACTCAGCAATCGTATTATTTCCTTCATGCAATCAGAGACGAACTGTTCTATGAAAGGAGTAACAGTGGTTACGCAATAAAAGCCCAAAAAACCAGTAAACGACAATCAAACACCAAAATGCAGTGAAATACATTGCAGGTAAGTATTTTTTATTCATTTCATTTAAGAAAAAGTAACTAAGGTTTAGCGTTATCTAGCGATGGCAGATCGCAGTAACATATTTCTCATACAAATTCTCTTATATTTTCAACGGTCGCCTGTAACGCGACACCGGCGCGTCACGTATAGTATGTAAATTACATTGCACCCTTCCCTCGTAACGTGAGTTTGGGCCACCTGTGCTCGTGCAGCTGGGCTCCTGTCTCCTGTCTCCTATATCAGTTTTTAAAGTATTAAGCCTGACAACGTCCTTTTGGCAAGTTTTGATGCTTAGTAGGTGAGGAATTAGAACATATATGACTCTTGTTTTGGCCCGGGGGGTAGGGGGTAGGGCTACTACCTGTAATGGCTGAAATGGGGGGCCCCACCAAAAGAGAGTACCTTTTCCCTCAAAGGGTAGGGAATTTTTAATCTGGTTCCGATTGTTGGAAAGGTGGATAACACTTTCCAATGGATAAATCTCATCCGCTGGATAGCAAAATTGTTTTTCTTAATACGTATCCACTGTATAGTGATTTATCAGGTGGTAGCGCTATCCAAGGATTGAACAACCGGGACCTGAAGTACACCAAAAAATAATCAAAATCTATTTAAAGGGAACTTTTGTGAAACTGTTTCCAAACTTTAGACGCATCTATATCATTTCAACTTATTGAATGACAAAAAGAGTTTTAGCCATTTATTCTTATCAAGTAGCTATGCTAATAGTCTCCTTAGCAGCTGCCCGGGCCGGAGTCATGCAATACACCCTACCCCCGTGGACTAGAATGCATAATAAAAGGGGTACCATTTTGTCAATGGAAGGAAAGGGATTGGACCTCGGAAACTTCGGATCGGACCTCCCCTGATAAAACTTTGTCAAGTAGTCCCCCTCCCCTCCCTTTTCGTTTCGGGGTCTTAAGGGTCTTTCTGCAGGTACTGTCATAACAAAATAATGAAATAAGGGAACTGAAAAATTAGTTCCCCTGGCCCTGGGGACTTCATTGTTTGGTTGTATTGTTTCTTTACTTGTATCCAATCTGCGCCTTGGTACCTAAAGAAGAAGCCCTGACCAGCCCCCCTGAGCATTGTGTGACGACTGTAAAAATGGCTGTGTGACTTTTTACTTCCCTGTGACAACCATTTTTGAATCATCTGCTTATGGGCACTTTGAACAAATTAATCTATTGTTGACCACCAGTTCTTTGTTACATTCTCTTTTAATGACCATCAACTCTTTGTTACATTCCTTCTTGATGACCAGCATTAAATTTCTCCTTAAATATCACTGCTTATTAATCATGAAGATTATGAGCGTCGTGAAAAAAAAAATCAGCCTAGGATAAAAAAAATATCTTACAAAAAGTCTCTCAGTAGAGAAATTATTTAAGAGTCATGCTTACTGCAAATAGTACAACCTCAATGGCAATTTCTCAAAATTAGAAAAGATTTCTTCTAGATGATACTGTCCATAGTAGCCCTATAAATCTAAGACTAATCAACTTCAATCTTCCCCAAAGTAACCTAAAAATAACCCTTTGACTCCTTTTTAGGGGCCAAAGAAAACATTCACAACAAAATTCATATTATTTTCTCTTTCTGAAATCCCTACAAATAAATAGTTGTATAAAAACGTTGAACTAAAGTGGGTTCATCTAAATGGTAACACCACAGCGATCTGTCCACAAGTTGAAACGTTAAAGCAAACCTCTCAATAACTTGGTTGCCCTTGGAGTGAGCAGGCTAAAGCATTTTCTGACACACTTGTGAAAACTACCCTATAATAAAAATATGTAGCAAGAAAGCAGAGATGGTTTTTGCAGGACAGAAAGTTAAGAATCATAACCCGTGCTCACATTTTTCAGTTTCACTGGGAATTAATTTTGCTTCCATCATTGTTTGCTCAATTGTTTGCTTTAAATACTAAATCAGGAAGCTTTCATTTCTACAATGCGACTGGTTCACAATATTTCCAGTTACATTACCTTAGGACACTGAAATAGCCTGTTTAGCTGGAGGCTTTGTGACAGTTTTCTTGGCTTCGCCTGGTGCTGGCACTCCTGTCTCCCCAAAAAACCACCAGCATAAGCAGGTTATATAAAGACAGAATAAGATCACTGATAAACTTGGACGTGATCAGTAACTGGGCAATACATGAACAGTAAGAGCTGCTATATAGTTCGTTTGAATCAGAATAGGACCAAAACAATAAAGAATTCCAGAGGATGAGCTGTTAGAGCTTTTTTCTTATGACCTTGAAAAACGGTTTTCGTAAGTGTTCGTTTTCCTGCCAAAGAAAACCCTAATGGAGAAGGCATTGTGCGATTGGCCAATTGTGTTGCAGTATGACGTCAAAGAGAAGTATCGACAGGTTGATTTCTAGAATTAAGTTCACGGGCATGAAGTTTTTTCACCCGAGTGTTCACTTAACCAACCAAAAGCCAGGTGCGTTTGTATCCGTTCGATAAACCAATCAAATCACTTTATTTCCATTAGTTAGTTGTTCTGTTTTGATTGCACTTTTTCATTTCAAGGTCAAACAAAAATCGCTCTAAATGCATATGCTTGCCAGTATGAGGGTACCAAAGTGGGAACAGGGAGTACAAATCCTATTTTCTGCTCAGGCTAAATGTTTACAGATCCCAGTGTCCAATGAAGGTTATTTTTAAGTTCAAAATCTAGATTTGTAGATCCTTGCAGTTAAACTTAGCTGACATCTAGAAAAGTTGAATATTTACATGAGACTACCAATTTTTGTGTTCAGAGTTAAATTAATCTTGAATTTTGAAATTTCTGCTACTTTGCTTTATCACTAGTAAAGCTAATAAATAAATAAATTATCATACATTTTAATAGCATTGCAAGTGAATATTTGAAATAATGTCATGACAGTCTTTCTTGTAAATTATTCCATGCTTTCACAACCTGTTTTTGCGTGAATTCTGGCTCCCACAAGGTGCAAATGGCAACATTAGCTTCCCTAATTCTTTCCTCGTTGCCTACTTGTGACTTAATTCTGTTCATTGCTTGTTCTTCAGAGATGCCATCTCTGTTGAGAATCCGCAAGACTGCTTCACTTTCAGGGACAAATGTAACCCAAACTTCATCAGTTTCCTTGTCCCAGCCAGCTTCTAAGAGAACTGCGGCATCCAGGACACAAACATTAAAGCCTTCTTTTCCATAATGAGCAATTTCTGTTTTAGCCTGCATCAATATCTCAGGCCACACTATTTGATTAAGCAATGCTAACTTTGCCTTGTCGGCAAACACAATTGCACCAAGCGCTCTTCTGTTTATGGTTTGTTCAGGGGTGAGAATGCAGGATCCAAAATTATCAATTATTTCCTTGTAAGCCTTTTTTCCAGGTGTATAAGCTTGGTGTCCAAGCTGATCGCAGCTTATTATCGCAGCACCTAGATCTTTCAGCCTCTGACAGACAGCAGATTTTCCACTAGCAATCCCTCCAGTTAGACCAATGACATATGGCTGATTATTTCCTTTCTCTTTTCTAACAACAGGTTTTAAAAGTGTTCCTAAGAGTTTCTGACGTTCCATAGAGGAGCTCATCTTTTCTTCCCCTTGATGGCGTTTTCCTTTCAGAACTTCAATACTGTTGTCCGAGACTACGTCAACAACATGTACATCCAGCAAATCTAAGCCTTTTTTCTCTCTGGCATCATTAACAAAGAACCCTCCCTTCTCTGTTTCCTTGCTGACAATTAAGCACTGGTACTCTGGAACTGTTCCTGCAGGCCCCACAGGGTCCTTGAGTATCATGATGTCCTGTTTAAGGCCTGAAAATGCAAAACATTGATAGTCAGGGATTCTGATATTATAAGATGGTGTAATTTTAAACAATAACAATAATATTAATAATAATATTAATATTCAACAGGGTGCAAAAAAAGTGAGTTTTACAGCCTGCCATTTGGGCAAGCTGTAGCTAACATGTACTAGCCCACAAGTCATTTCAACTAGCCCCAAAACCCTTTTTGATTAGCAGAATTGATTACAATACTTCTGCAATTTGAATTCCCCCCCCCCAAAAAAAAAGCACTTGCCCTTCGGACAAGTTAAGAACAAAAATCACTAGCCCGATAGCAAAATCCACTGGCCCCTGGCTATCGGACACGACTTTCTTTGCATGCTGTTTTTATAATATTTATTAATTGCATGTACATAGCATTTAAACCATACACATATTCTAAAACGCTGATAAAAGCTGACAAACACTAACACATAACAAACAGTACACTTAAAGAAAATAAAAATAAAACACCACAATCACTGCCAGTGCATGAATTCACTGGGCAAATGAAATAAAAAGGTCTTTAGAGCCTGCTTGAAACCCTGATGACTCCAGGTACTCATGATAAGCTAAAGGAACTAGTGTTCCACAGTGAGGGGCCAACATGAGTGAAGGCCCTGTCCCCAAGGGCTCCACGCAAGAAATCTCATTTCTTATTATTTCAATAGATACTTTAAAAGAAACAAAAAAATAAAAAGTAACTTGCCCTTTAGGTAAGTTGTTGTTGAAATTTTACTAATCCAAAGTAATCCCCTAACCTGTGATCAGTCGTTTTTTAATTTCTTTTTGAGAAGAGAGGGGAAAAATAAATATAAGAAGAGAAATATCACAGGTTTTTAATACCAACTACCCTTTTTACTTTATCTCAGCAAACATTATTTACCTGCTGGGCAAAATTATTACAAGCAACAAGAGGAGGCTTAAAACCTCTTAATCTCCAGGTTGAGAACGTGTGATCACACTAATCATGCACATGCCTTTGAACTTTCTATCTTCCATAATCCCACCACTTGCATTCAAACTTACGCAAAGCACCAGCAATGGAGCAGGAGTGTTTTGACCTTCGATCAGAAGCCTGAAACCCCGCACTACCTGTTAAAACCTTTGGTTATTGCTAGTTACTAACAGATGTTAGCACGAGGGCTCGCTCCAGGCTATCAAACAGCACTTTTGCTACATACAGGTATTATCGATCTTCGCCAGTGATATCAGTGGATAACACTCTGTTCAATCTTAATGATCCTTTGCAATATGCCAGCCACATACAAGAATAATACTGTTACTGTCAAACTCAGAAACCCATGAGCAACTGAAATTTTTAAGGAGTGTTCATCGTGTGGTGACCAGTCACAATACAGTTCAGGACATGCCTCAATGCCTTTTTTCTTTTCAACACAATAACATTCCATAACTATTTCTAGTGTTCATGATTTTATGACTTTCAAAGTAAATACACTGAAGATGTATAACCACAATGTGATAGAGATTGTTTTGATCATTCAAAGGCATAGAAGGAGGCTTTTCTCGACTTACTACCCATGAACTACAGTCAAAGGTTCCACAAGCAACCACCCAAAGTCAAAGACCTACTGGTCACTTACTGAAGGTGGTTGTTTAGAAGAATCCAACCACAAGGTGTCTCTTCCAAGTGGTCCAGACACTGTACAGAAGATAATTAATTTTATTGCAAGCAATTTCATGCAGTTTCATGCAAGTTACGATATGTGTAGTTCCATGTTGTCACTTAAAGTTCTTCATATACATGTAGTCCAAGTAGCATAGTGCACACTGAACCTAGAGAAGAGACCACGCGTCGGTTGCTTGCAGTAGGTGGTCTTTTATGGCAGGTTCCAATTATAGGGCTTTGACTGGGGAAATTTTGGTGTTTTGAATAGGTGGTTGCTTATTGGAGGTGGACACTAAAGAGAGATGGTCGCAAATGTAGGCTGTACTGTATCATACCATATTTCCTCGAATAATAGCTGCCCCTCGATTTACCACCTTCTTCAAAATCTCCCCCCTTTGATGGAAATATTATTTTTACAAAATGTTATTGTAAAATAATCACCTCCCTCAAATAACCGCCCCCCCCCCAACCCCTCCCGCTATCTTCATCTACTTAAAAAGCCCATACTCAGTTTATTTCGTGTGATTATTTTTTTATTCGATGAGATAATAAACAAAATATTTAGGGCACGACTTCCAGTGAGCAATATTTGTGACCCTATTTGGGAAAAGCGGGCTTAACGAAAATTGCGTTGAGCCGTTTTTTATCGCAACGCATTTGGAAACGTTGGAATGCATTGGCGAACATTCTTAATGCATTTGAAAGCGTTGGCAATGTTCTCCAACGGAACTAAGAAACGTTCAGTATCGTTTCAAAATCATTTCAAAACATTTGGAAAACGTTTTCGAACGTTGAAAATGCATTAAATGGAACATCATTAATTCGTTGCAACGGGAAACATTCACCAAACATCCTAACATTGTCAACGACTGAGCTACAAAAGCTCCGAACTGTCAGGCATCTCCTCGCTCCATCATTCGACAATTTAAAGCCACGGTCATAAATGAAGTGATAAAACGTTTAAAACTTCACAGCGTGAGAAACGTTCGATCCGAGGAATCAATAATTTGTTCCATTTTCAGTTTTTAAGTCTGTGTTATTAAAGAGGGCAAAAAAGAGGGGAATTAAATTTGAAAGCACGCGTTGTCGAAAGTGTTATAGGTCTGAATTTATTTTATGCTGTTCTTTCAGTGTTACGGCGGTGTGCGTGCTTGTGACTACCTTGTTTGATAGCTCCCTGTAAAATTAACAGATATCAGATGCTTGATATGGGTCGCTGATTTTAAGACTAAAATATACCAAATTTCTACCGGCGGAGTTGTACTATTTACCGACTTTTCCTTATTCCCGTGTTTCCCGTTTTTTTGCTCGGGGATTCAACAAATTCAACCAGTTCAGTCACGGAACGCCCTAGCAAACGCTAGACATTGTATCCTTTAAAAGCGAAAACCTGAAAACGTGACATTCTTCACAAAAAATTCATGGTTTTTATCTGTACCAGTCAGCTGCTATGAAGATGTCAAAATTTATGATCACGAATATTTTCTGATCAAAGCTTGTTGCGTGACACTACCGTCATCACGGCTCAAGGGTTCGAAAAGGTCAACGCGGTAATGTTTTCCGTATTACTGTTTTGATTTTTATGGTGTTTTTTTTTTCACTGATTCTTCAATGGACTGCATGGCTCGCATGACTTGCTGGCTCTCATTTTATACACGTACAGCACACTTTTTGGCAGATTTCTTTGCCATCATCGCTCGATTAACGTTGTCAAGCAAGCGCGATCGTCGCGACTTCAATTTCGTCGGAACTACTGAAGTACTATTTTTCTCACCTTTGGTCTCGCTCTCTCCCAATTTTTTCGTCTTGTATCTTTTCCCCGAGGGATTTTGGAGCCGGAACGGATTAATTTTGAAAGGGATGTGAGAATTCACCGACTGCAAGCAGTCTAGCACGCCGCTGACGAAGGTAGAAAAGAGCAAATAATTGGCAACCCCAAAATTCTGTCAGCCAGCTACGTACAAAAAGAAATGCACGACCTCAACAGTCAGCCTTACAGTTTTAAGAAACTTCTCAAAAACTTCTCTCTTTTATTTCCATATTTGACAGTCCAAGAAAGTAATTTCATGCTTTTCTCAATTACCTCTTGACATGTTACAACCTGAAACAACATCAAACACACGCAATGTCACAAAGATCAAAGTTCTATGCAAATTGATTTGAACCGATCGAGAACAAAAAGTAAAAGCCTTTGTTTTCCATTGCGAATTCATGTCGTTATTCCCGTTGATATTACTGTTATATGGAGGTATCATTACTGTTCCTGAAAAAAAATTGTATTTTCAAAGAACGTTCTCAAGCGTATCGATGTCTAATCATCAGTGGCTTCAATTAGTGATAATTTTTCGCATCCCGGGTTGAACTTCAGGAACTAATTTTATCGATAAAAAAAAAACGTTTGGAAGCATTGCCAATGCATTGAACAACGTTGAAAAAACATTCTAAAACGTTGGAAAAACATTTTAAAACGTTGAAAACAATTGCCTGTGTTTGAAGGAAAACGTTGTAAATGCGTTGAGAATCATTGGAATCCGTTTCAATGCATTGTAATGCATTCAAAATGCGTTGAAATGCTTTTCAACGCAAATTTCATTAAGCCCGGTTTTCCCAAATAGGGTCACATTTGAAATCGTCGCCTCCCTTGAATAATCGCCTTCCCTTGAATGATCGCTACCTTGTGGTGCCAAAAAATATATATAATCGCCCCCGGCTATTACTCGAGGAAATAAGATGCCAGTAGCACGTTGCTCAGCCAATCTGAATGTTAGTTTAGTGATGTAATTTGAAACACGATGAAAGAAATGAAAGACATACCTGGCTTAACGTCATTCAAAAAGTCTTGCAATTTCTTCCTCCTCTCTTGGAAAGGCTCGATTAGTTCCTTCAAAAACTTTCTTTGAAGAAGAGGCCCATCGCTGAGGCCAATCGTAATTCTTTCTTGGCAAAGCAAGGAAGCTACAGCTAGAAGTAATCGATGGCCAGAGTGAATGTGATCGAATGTTCCCCCAAGAACTACCTCATTGTAGGTCTGCAAAGAATCATTTTGAGGATTTTCTGGCCCACAAGTTTTGTTGATTAAGTTACTATCCGTCGCCTCGTCTTCGACCTTTAAATACTTCACTTTTTTCTCCAAATCGGATAACTGAAAACGGCGGGTCAGCCACTTCTTGAACTCCAGGAGGCCAACCTGTGAACTCGACTGGCCTGTTCTACAAAAAATATCTCGCACAAGTGCGACCTCAGGTCTCTTTCCAAGATATCTAACTTCATCAAGGTTACCGTCTGTTTTTGCCAACGCGGAAGGAAGTAGAAATCGGACGTCCAAATGGCCAATCCTCGAGGAATTTTTGCTGTAAACATCGACGAGTAGGTCGTACAAATTGCGAAGATGGACGCACACGTAATCAGGTTGATAAATGTCAACGTACAATACCTCTTTGACTTCTTTCGATGCTTGCTTCAGAAGGGCTGGTATTTTAGTTCTGAGGCAAGAAGGAGACAAGACTAACAACCCATAACGAACCATATTGTTTTCGCGATTGTTTCGTAATTCTTTTCTGAAAGGGAAGAGATCGATGTGATGTAATGTGATGCAATCACTCGCGACGGAGAGACTGGTTCGAGCTCGATCGGGAGCTACGAAGAGCCACGAACAGTAGAAACTTTCCGGCAATCATCGGAAATAAATCTCAATCCTTGATTGAACATTCGCTTTGAAGTCGCGAAAATTGTGATCAAACTTTGCCTTACGGGCAGATCTCTGCTAAAGTTTCAGATGGGGCGAAAAGTGACTCTTGCGGCTTGCACGTTAAATCAATGGGCCTTGGATTTTGAAGGCAACTTGAAACGCATCCTTCAGAGTATAAATCTTGCCAGAGCACATGGTGCAACATACAGGCTCGGACCAGAGCTGGAAATCCCTGGTTACGGTTGCAACGATCATTTCTTGGAAAGCGACACGCTACTGCATTCTTTTCAAGTTCTTTCTGTGTTGCTAAAATCGCCAGTAGCCAAGGACATCATCTGCGATGTTGGAATGCCCATAATGCACAGGAATGTTCGCTACAACTGCAGAGTTATTTTTCTCAATGGAAAAATACTTCTGATCCGTCCGAAAATGACACTTGCTAACGATGCTAACTATAGGGAGGGTCGTTGGTTTACAAAGTGGAACAAGGTGTGTACTGTCAATAGAGATCAGAGATATTTCCAGTCCTCTGTAATGGTGTTTCCCACATTTTCCACTATCTGGAATGGGTACTTTGATGGGTGGTGTGGGGAGTAGCCTATCCACCGGCTAAACCATTATCCAGTAGATATTTTGTGGTAAGCATTATCAAAGCATTTGAAAAAATGAGGATCCAGGCGTTGGGAGGGGGCATTGAAGAGGCTTTAGCCCTCCAACATCCCTGCAACTCCCCCCCTCCCCCAACCCCAAGAAAAGAAGACTTACTAGGAGGAGTACATGTATCTTCAGCCTAGTCACTATTCCTGCTCCCCCCTTTGATCAATATTCTGCCATCCCTGGATTTTTACTGACATAAAAGCACTGGTTAGCTAGCGTGCATCATAGATGTATTCTAAATGTGGTAAGTAATGTATACAAAGCAGCCCAAGATCCTTGCTCAAAATGATAGAAAGACAAGCTATATTGGGGGATGACTGTGTTTGTGGTAGTTCTTTATTTTTTGCAAGGCTACGAGGAAGGCTTTGGAACCACTTGCATGAAATTTATCATAAAATAATACAGTTGATAGTGCAATGTAAATATTCATTTCTTGAGACATTTTTAATCAGATCATTATAATCAGCAAATGTCCTCAGCATTAGAACAGATGTCCTTTTATTGAGTTAGCCTGGGATTAGGATGCTCATGAGCTGTCCCACAAATTCACCATCCCATTTTTTCTCTTGCCATCTCCTCTTTTATTTAATGGAGAGCAGGCTCACAGACTACTTTGGGGTTGTTAGAAGCACTATAAATCCCCAACATACATTTGGTCTCATCTGCAAGCCACTACATAAATCCTTGTTCTGGGTCCCCAGCTGGGTAGGAGGACTTAAGTACAGACCTTGATTGGCCTCTTAACTAGGCTATTATCCAAGAGCCAATCAGGTTAAAGAGAAATTTGAAAATAGTTATGTATACCATGTCTGGTAATTTGTCGAGTCTGTTGGAGGCCCAGAACAAGAATCTCAGTGCTGATTTGCAAGCTTTACTAGGCAAGGTTAGATCATATCTGTGACACAGGCTACAACATTATGTTCCCTCTTTTCTGTCATGGTGCAGCATCAAACACAGACTGCAGACATGCAAATTGGCAGGTAAACAAGGTAAACATTGTTGTGAAATGCTCTAAAAGATTCCCAATCCCTTAACTTTAAGTCTTCTACAAGTCTGTTAGCGCATTTCACCAAAATGTTTACCTTATTGACTTAGCCTGCAAGCATGCTCTCTCTCCCAATCAGCTTTTTGCATCAACCTTTTTGATGCAGATATTCAAATTCCAGAGATGTAGTTGCAAGCCCTCCTTCCTTTTCCTGCCCCACCGCCAGAGAACCCCAGAGAGCTTGCTCACAGGCTACATTTACCAGCCAGTTGGCGAGTCTACAGTCTCCGTTGGTCACACACCACTACTCTGTTGTCTGACCAAAGCTTTTTCTATTTCTGTCTAGCCAAAGCAAACTGAAGAGTACTTTCTTCCTCGTATGATAGCAGAAATAACTGGCCAGGACACTGTTCCATTTGGAGATGGTGTCATCTCCACTCTGGATACTTGTGTTGGTTCAGAAATCTGTGAGGAGCTGTTTAGTGTGGATGGTCCACATATTAGTATGGCATTGGATGGCGTGGAAATCATCACTAATGCAAGTGGAAGCCATCATCAACTAAGGAAACTTAATACTAGGGTGGATTATGTAACAGATGCGACAACAAAGGTGAAATACAATCTCTGAACTTACAAACTACAAGTCCTTTTAAGATCAAAAGAATAAAAGTATGACTACAAACTATTAGACTTCTGATGTGAAGGTAATGAAGTTTGAATAGTTGATATGTAGTGCCATTCTCAGGGTCTTTCTTCTTCCCATCCCAGGATGAGGACAAATAAAATTCATCATTTGGCCTTCCTGCACAAATACAACAATACAGTTCCTTCACGTAAAGTCACTGAAAATATTGTCTCCAGCAGGAGCTCTAAAAGCACATGAAAGAAAAGTATGTTTCTCAACCTGGGAGATTAATTAGTTTAATGGTTATAATGTTGAGGACTTGGGGAGTGGAGATGGGATTGCGGGGTTTAAACCAAATAGAACAGCTGTGTTTAATACTGTAACTAAATTTTCTTTATGTTAGATTAGATTGATAATATAATAAGTTTGTCTTTTGCAAAGTCACCCTATTAATAAAGAAGATTATTCAAAGATATCTCACAACAGTTAACAAAAATTAAACAAGTACATTTGCTGGTCAAAGCATTTGTTTGTAGAAATAATATTGCGATCACTGACGTCAAACTGAACATTAGAGGTCTTTGCTTTTCTTATTCTATAGGCTGGTGGCATTTATGTTTATGCAAATATGAGAGGCTGCGATGGAGAAAGGGTTTACTATGATGGATGCTCAATGATTGCTGTCAATGGTCATGTTGTTGCGCAGGGTGCACAGTTTTCATTGCAGGAGGTAGAAGTTGTCACGGCGACAATTGACTTGGAAGAAGTGCGCTCTCATAGAGGCTCTACACCAACATTTGGTTCAAGTGCAACAGCTTACACTAAGAGCTATCCGCGCATTAAGGTGGACTTTGCATTGAGTCATGGAGATGACATATCCATCCCATCAGCGGAACCAATAGAGGTTCAGTACCACTCGCCTGAGGAGGAGATAAGTCTTGGTCCGGCTTGTTGGGTATGGGACTATCTCAGGAGGAGTGGTCAGGCAGGCTTTTTTTTACCACTCAGTGGAGGTATGTCATTTGCAATGGTGGAGACCTTCAGATAAGTGGGGCCTGGTGGTCATCTGGACCCTGAGATAAGTGAGGAAGGCCCGGTGGGCGTTGATTGCTGGTCTCCAAAAAAATTTTTTTGGCCCTTTCGGTTCTCAGTTTGGTCTAAAAATAAGGGGGGATGGGCACCAGGACCCCTCCCCTGAATCCACCACTGATTTGAATGTTGTTGGTTAGATGTGTTGTGGATCAATTTGCCATCTTGCCCATTCAATAAAAATTACTAGAAACCAATAGTATTGCTTTATGGATATTAGCATTATTTTTTGTTGTTTTTGTGTTGTCTGAACCTCAACTTTGTCTCAAACCATGAGAAAGCAAAATGAGAACTTACCAATACAGTCAACTTTCTCCGAGACGGGCATCTTTGAGATGGGAACTATATGTTTGTCTTAGTGAGATGTCCATCCTTAAGAGAGTCAACTAAAAGAACTAAAGAAAGGCAGGGACCAACTCTTGGTATCCGTTTTAGCAAAGTGTCCATCTTATAGAGGTCTCCAGTAAGAGAGAATTGACTGCAGTGATATTCAACCATATTGACCTCGCACTTGAACAATAATGCATAATGTCTTCTTGATACAGGAATCGACAGCTCATCAACAGCTTGTATTGTCAGTTCCATGTGCCACCTAGTTTGCCTTGCTGTAAAGAATGGTGATCAACAGGTGTTAGAAGACTGCCGCAGGATCATCAATGACAAGTGAGTTTACCCTTTTATGACCTAAAGCAGCTACTCACTAATGAGTTCCTGTGTAAATGCACAGCATTTTATTTGAGTGTCAATGCACGAAAGCACTAATTGGGGACACTATTTTTACCTCTCCTCCTGGAGACGGGACCGCTATTTTACATGCTCATCCCAGCCACGCGAAGGTCTAGCCATTTGCAAAGGCAAAGGCAGTACCTTCATTTCTCAGTCATTTTAAGACCCTGAGTGTTGGTCCGGTCCCGGGAATCGACCCATGACCTCCCTCTCTGCAGTCAAGCACTTTACCGACTGAGCCAATCCTATCACAGTGAATTTGGAGTTATTGTAGTGGTAGTTAGGTCAGTTTATGAGATCACCCACCGGTGTTATCTTACCACTGTTTTTTTTTTTTATGCGAGAACATTGCTCCGCGTTCTCTCTCTCTCTTATCAAGCCTGGGACCAGCCCTTACTTCCCCTCTCCTCCCCCAAAACGTGCAGCCTGTCATATTGCATCCCATCATAGAGAGGTACTGCTATGTTATTAGGGGGCTTAAAGGCGATGTTACACAGGACGATTCGCAACGACGATTTTTAGCGCAACAGAGCGTTGCAATGTTGGAACAGTGTTGTAACTATTCCAAACAATGTCACAACAATGTTGCAACGCTCTGTTGCGCTAAAAATCGTCGTTGCGAATCGTCTCGTGAAACATCACCTTAAGCAACACCGACGGGAACGAGAACGGCAAAAAAGCGATAGGTTTAGATTAGCAAAATAACAGCTTTGCCCGTGCATCACGCTTTTTTGTCCATTTCTTTGCCGTCACTGCACGACTACGACGTGAAAGTGCCTTAATTCACGTTTTGTGCGAGAGAACGTGAACACAAGGCAATGACTTTCTTTTTTTTTTCTGAAGTTCGATACAGTCTTTACGAATTCAGCTCTAGCAAAATTTGCCAACATGTGACGAATCGAACGAGATGGAATAAGTGCAATAAAGTTTAAAGCAGCGCGAATTAAGCTTTTAAGTGACGTTTTCGTATCCGTTACCGTCTTCGTTGCTTAAGCTCCCTATAGAGCCTTGTTCTCATATGCTGCCCAAGTACCTGCGACATATCCGCCGGTACTGGCTGCGATACTACTTATCAATTATTCCTCGAGCCTGAATGGGCTCTGAGTCAATAGCCCATGAGGCCGAAGGCCGAATGGGCTATTTACTTAGCGGCCATGAGGGCGAGAGGAATAATTGTTTTAGTAAAATCCAACTAGTTGGTCAAAGACATCGAGACAAAACAACTTTTAGCTAGTTAAACGCGATTCAGCCGCCATTGTTTTGGTTTTCAAAGCCGGCGCTTTTCGCTACTAGTGGGCTATAACATATAGCCTAGTAGTAGCTCAGCCAATCAGAACGCGGCATTGGTAATAGACCACTCGTTGGCTTTAACTAATTTGACATACATCTACGAGGACATAACGCTGCTAGCAACAAGAAACATCGCAGGTCTCTACCACCAGCATGCCTGCGAAGTCGAACTCGAGTCTTAAGAGACCATCCTAAAACTAAATTAAAAATCACTCTCTTCTTCGTTATCTTCTAGTAATTACATACCTGCGGATCCCAAAGAGCTGGCAGGCCGTATATTTGTCACATGTTACATGGGAACGGAGAATTCTTCCGAGGAGACCAGAAAAAGAGCAAGCGACTTAGCAGAGGAGATAGGCAGTTACCATATGGGTACTTTTGCATTGTTGTCTTTTTCATAATTTTGATGGTAGATGGTAGTTTTTCTTTTTAAATAATTTTACCCAGTTGGAATAAGCGCGACATCATCCTTCTGTGGTGCGGGGTATTCCCTTAGCGGTCGTTTCGCCCACGCGTTTTAAATCGATTCGCCCGATGACAGACAACACTTTACAACAAAGTGAACATGCGTATCAGAGATGTAATAGGCCATTTCCGAGTTCCCCCGGGCCTCTGTTTCAAACGGAGGGTAGGTGCTGAGCCTTTGATATGGAAATCATTTTTAATTCTCGTGCAAATAAAACTCATTTTCACAAGAAAGGTTGTGCACCTAGCCTCATTTTGAAAGTGAGGGTTTTTGGAACTCGGAAGTGGCTTATTGTAATTAAGCATTGATCCCTCATGCGCAGTCACTGTCTTTTCAAGCGTGTGCCATCTTTTAGGCTTAAAGAACGACGAATACACATTGGGCGAATCGACTTCAATCCGGACGAACTGTCGTCGGGCGAAACGACCAGATACTCGTCAGTCTTCCTCCCCCCATCAGCCACATCCCGTTTGACAGTGTATACGAGGAATTGGCTAACGAGGACTCTTATTTACACTTGTTTATTTTTCCTACAGGAATCACAATCGATGCTGCCGTCACCGCTGTCCTCGGGATATTTACAGCAGTCACGGGTAAAATCCCGAAGTTCAAGTTGTACGGGGGGACACAACGCGAGAACCTCGCCATGCAAAATGTGCAGGCGCGACTGCGCATGGTCTTAGCATATTTATTTGCTCAGCTGATCATGTGGGCGCGTGGGCTTCCTGGTGGTCTACTTGTCTTAGGATCTGCCAACGTTGATGAAAGGTATGTATAGAGCTATATCATGCAGTTAAGGCGAAGTCAGGTTATAGGCTCTATCTTAAGACAGGGAAAGCGAAGTATTTACCGGCATTTTGTTAGTGGTTCAAATCAATCCCATTCCTGTTTTTGGGACGAAACATTCCGAAAGATGTAATGATAGCCGACAGAGCCGGTGTAGATTGCCGTGCGAGCGATGATCCCTCATCGGCAGTTTATCTTGTACCTATGTTGATGACTCCATCAGCGATCACGCATTTTAAATACGATCCAGACCAGTGAGCGCATTTCATTCAACTATTTTTTGTCTGTTATGTGTCACCATGTTCCCAATGAATAATGTTGCTTGATTCGCTAACTTTCTTCCGATCTCTTTGCGGTGGTCATTTGGTGCAGTGTTATCTGCTCGTAAAGTAAGTTTGAAGTTGGGAAGTAAACGTCGCGAACATTAAGTCGTCTAAGAATAAGGCGAGTCTAGTTTTGTCCAAAAAAAGAGAGTCTAACTTTGTCTCCAGACTTCTTACTCGTAAAGCGAAGGGGAAAGGAACGAGCCATGAGGCAGATTCATTAACAAAAGAACTAGCTTGCTTAAGCGCATCCCAATTTAACAAACACGAAAAAGGGATCTGGAGACTAGACTAGACGCGGCTAAATGTACTGTCGGAAAATGTGGCTGAAAGGAATTAGTAGCGCATAGATTTTGTATCTTTCTCTTCTGCCCAAATGAGCTAACGCGGGTAGTCTTTTTTGAACAGTTTATGCGGATATCTGACGAAGTACGATTGCTCAAGTGCAGACATCAATCCAATCGGAGGCATCAGCAAGAAGGATTTAAAAGCCTTTATTTTCTACTGCGTGGAGAAGTTTAATTTCAGTTCACTCATACGAATTCTTGGTGCTCCCCCAACCGCTGAGTTAGAGCCACTTGCAGATGGTCAAATACAACAGACTGACGAGGTGAATTTGTTGTTATTGTTGTTGCTTTTGAAATTGTTGTTAAACTCATCAACATCAAATGGGGTTAAGTTTAGGTGCTCCAGAGGATGGTGGTGCCAAGCGCATAAGAGAAGAGCACAGAGTGGTTGACAACCACCACCGGCACCAATACACTGACCAAGTAAAACACTGGACAGTGGATCCTCGATATAACAAATCGCTATATAACGAAGTCCTCGGTGTAACGAACGGTTTTCTCTACACCAGTAAAAGTAAAATATACGAAAGAGAACCTTGATACAAGTTAACGAAACCTCTTTATAGCGAACAAATTTTGCCAATCCCTTGGCCCTTCTTTATATCGAGGTTCCACTATACACCCTTACCTGAAACCGAGGGAGAGGGAGGGACATGGAAGAAATCATAATGTGAGCCGCTAAAATCGAAACTGCTGACCAGTATTGTTGCGAGTTAAACTTCGCCTAAATTATATGTAGCCACATAATTAATACAAAAATAGAAACATGTATAACCTCTGCAAAGGGTTTTTTTTATGAATGGTTCAGGAGGCCATCGGCTCCTGATGGTCACACCAAAGGATGTTTTTTTCAGACTAAGAAGTAGGTTCCACTTAAAATTTCCCCATAATGAACTCTGCGGCTCGAAACTTATTGCATTGTTTACCGATTAAGGACCAGCTAGGCGAAAGTTAGTAATTTGTTTTGCGAGTGATTTGTCCACAAATCTTACAATCGTTTCGGCTTTCATGGTCACACTTGAATGATTTCATCCATAGACTCAGAAGTTTCAAAAGCCTTGTGCAACATGAAAAAAAAACTTCTGTAAAAAAAAAAAATGGAAAACAATGCTAATGTAGCTTTTGTTTCAATGGTGTCGCAGAAACGTTTTATTTCTCGTGTTTAAAATCTTGTCAACTTAGACGGCTTTTCAAACAGCATGAATATCTCTTTCTCTTGTAGGAGGATATGGGTATGACATATGATGAGCTATCTATGTTCGGACGCCTAAGAAAAATCTCGCGCTGTGGACCATACAGCATGTTCTGCAAACTGGTTCACACGTGGCGAACAAATTACGCGCCCTTGGCTGTCGCAGAGAAAGTGAAGCGCTTCTTCCGCGCTTACTCGATCAATCGACATAAAATGACGACTTTGACTCCAGCGTATCACGCCGAAAACTACTCTCCGGACGACAATCGATTTGATCTGCGACCGTTCTTGTACAACACGCAGTGGTCGTGGCAAATGCGACTGGTTGACGATGAAATCCGACGACTTCAACAAGCAGCTGAGAAGTTGCATTTGCGTCAGCAACAGCCACACCTTCAAGCCAACAGTGATGCCTTATTTGGGAGTTTACATGATCACAGCGTGAGTGGCTCTGAAGGTGTGACGTCATCATCCCTGCCTGTAAAGACGGAGCGGAGTGGAAACCACTTTTGCGCAGATGAGCGGACACATCAAGCGCGAAGGGAGAGGCTGGAGCGAACTGTAGAGCCTTGGGCGAATTACAACCGGGGATCGAGAAGAAGGGAGATAAATGAAACTCCCCCATGCCCTGCTCTCATCCGCATCAAAACGGAACCCCCTGATCTTGAACAGGGTTGCCATTCGGACGTGAATGAGCATTCGGACTCAGAGTTGAGGTCTCGTAAGAGAGACATGACTGAAATATCAGGACACGTAACGGAAGGGGAATTTGTAAGCGGGGAAAAGTATATGCGGATTAAGTCCCGATGAATAGCGGGAATCGTTTTTATCCTATGTCACTACAAAAAGATTTTGGCACAGAGACTTTTTGACATATCAATTGTTTGCTTGAAAGGTATCGATCTATTGTTGGAAGTTGCAAGAACTAAAGCACCAAGGATAATATGGATATTCCTTGCTTTCGTAATCTTAGCCCACGTGGAAGTCGATTGGGAAAATCCGTGCGTTAGTGAAGGGTTAAGTTGGCGCACGAGCGGTTGGCGCACGAGCTTGGATGGGTGATTGGTGCTCCACGTGAGGCTTTTGGTCGAAGTTCGAGCCTGGCCATCAAGATTGTTTCATTTTCTTATTCTCCACTTGTGTGTATAATTAGAACGCCCGGTAACCATACGATGGGCGTCCATCGGTGGGTTGGGAAGAGGGGGGGGGAGGTGAACATGGCGTTACGTTTCACTTTGAACGTAGAATTATTCAGACAGCCGTGATTTTGAACCGGATCGTGTCTCTATAAGAGTGAAAACTCAAACGTACGCTTGAATTTTCAAATGGCGCAAATCGTTTTCTGAGCAAAGAAACGTAGTAATGGGGACGAGGCTGACGTGCGTCGCTCAAAAATAAACCTAAATCTAATAATTCTGCACTCTATCTTAGAACGGGTTTATTTAATTATTTTTTTTTTGAATTATTCAGACAGCGTAAAGTTCAAATAGTTTCAAAAAATTGCAGTTAAAAAACCTAAAAAGGAAATACTGTTTATTTAATTATTTATTTTTTATTAAAGTTATAACATTAGTTAACAAAGCAAAGGAAATACTGTTTTACCCGATTTATTGTTTTGATTTATTGTTTTGACAGAAAGAAAGTTTTTCTTCTTTTATTTTACATTTTCAACTTCTCCCCGGGTCTTGATCTTTTTTAGGTACGTGGTAGTTGAAGTTTGTTGTCGATTGTTATTTTTCCCCGAAAAGTTTATTATCAATAACTTCCTTCACAAACTGATCTCGGTTGTTTAAAAGTTGGATATGCGTTGGATCAATCGCTACCCAGTGAATAAATATTAGGGAATCCAATTGCGTTATTCACCTTTTGAAAAACTGGGGGGCTCGCTTTTTGTGTACAGTAGACTTATATCCAGGCAAGGGAATTGTGTGATACATTGCAATAACAGTGTGAATTTTAATTTAATATAACTAGTCTGTCAATAAAAGTCAGTTAACAACTAAGAGCGCCTTAAGTGCCTGAGGTCAGCGGTCTTTGGCATGCGCATGCCCAGTAGCTGGCTACATCGATCATGTGATTCATTGGCATGTTCAGTTTTCCGTCGTGCTGGGTTCTTTCAGCCATTTTCTTTCTAGGGATAGCCAGGGTTTTGGCAGCGATGTCTAGAGACTGTCTAAGTTTAAAGGGATTTGCTTCTGGTGAAAAATCTTAAGTCTTCTTCAAAGTTTTATTTTGGCGTAAAAACTGTTCATAAATTTTTTAGTTAGGTCCCGAAATTGTGCAAGACAGGTCTCTGTTTGAAAATCGCGATAGTAGTACCAGCGAGCTTGCCCCAAGGCTAGTGCAAAATAATATATTTTTTTACGGAGAGTAATCTCAAAGGCAATAGTTTTACCTGACACGACATTTTAAAGGTCCTTGACCAACTTACTTTTACATTAACATTCATGTGCTCTTTAAAGTAAACAGCAGGAATTGTCTTTTAATTTCATAAGTGTTACCATATTAATTTTCTGAGTTCCGTCTTGTGGTCTGCAAAATAATAGTTTTTCCAAAACGAAAATTTTCAATTTATTCAAAAAGTTTCACGTCATGAAAATGAAGGTTCTTGCCTAACAAATACACACCCAAGCACGATGTTGTAAGTCAACTTTTAATGCACACAAAATCATCTATTTCTAGTGAACACAAAAGACCTCACTAATTTACCTCTGAAAACAAACAAACAATGCACGCCCTTACGGTAATTCAAATTAATTATCATAATTTTAAGGTTCTAATGAAGAAGCAGAGCCTTGACTCGATCAGTCTAAACTCATAGCCTCGTCTTCGTCCTTATTTTTGTCCTCAGTCTCCTCTTCAGCCCCGGCTGTAGTTGGCCGAGAGGTTTCATCTGAGGTACTGGTACTGTCAGCAGTACTGGGTCGGGAGGACTCTTGCACGGCACGCACAAACTCAACCATGTCTAGAAAATAACAATAAAACGCACAATAGTTTCCAATTAGTGTGATGGCAAATGTTCTGTCTGTACCCTCTCTTTTTCGTGGGCTAGAAGAAGAGTGGTTCAAGAAGCAGAATCAACAGTAGGTTGAGTTTGATCGTCCGGGTGAACGTAGTCCTGAATAGGACTGTTGTTGTTGACAGTGACTGACGTTTCGACAACCTGTGCGGTAGACATCTTCAGAGTCAAAGTGAGTTGTATCACGTCAGTTGATAGTATTATACTCTGGTTATTGATCAACGTCGTTTCATATCACATGGTCGAAGCTCTTCTTACTGACACTACTCTATAACAGACAGTTCCCTTGTCAAGATATCAAACTTCGCACAATTCCTGGTTCTACAATACGGACACCTCTCTATTTTGGACTGTTCTCTTATTACAGCAATTTTCGTATGACCTTAAAAAATGGTTTCGGTAAGTGTCCGTTATTTGTTTTATTAACCAATGGATGAAAAGATCAAAACACGGACTCTTCGTTTTCCCGCCAAATAAAAACCCTAATATGGAGAAGGCATTGTTCAATTGGCCAATCGTGTTGCAGTGCGACGTCAAAGCGAAGTATCGATCGATTTCTAAAAAGTTCTCGGGCATGAAGTTTTTTCACCCGAGCGTTTGCTTAACAAACCAACAGCCACGCGCGTTTGTTATCCGCTCGATAAACCAATCAAATCGCCATATTTCCGTTTGATTTTGTTTCTGTTTGTAAATGTAAATGTAAATGTCGCGATTGAGAGGACAAACATACATGTCCTCTTTACATAGCTTTCTGCAGTGGGCTCGGACATCAGCATACTAAGGGCGCCGATGGCAGCCGCTATCAGTCCATTTATGAGCCCACTGAACCCTCCCAACCCATGATGAATGATGATGTAAGTGATGAAGATAGACCACAACACCGGGAACTACGTCCCCTACTCTTTTCGAATAGTGTGTGGGTTCTTTAACGTCCCACAGAGTTATATGTGAACAAGGTTTGTGAGACGGGACCTCCGGTTTATCGTCCTTATCCGAGAAGACTTGAAAGTCTAATCATTTGCAGATGTCATTACAAAGACAGCACTTTCTCCTCAGTTATTTTTAAGACCCTGAGTGTTGGTCCGGCCAGGATTCGAACTCGCGACCTCCCACTCAGCAGACCGGCGCTCTCCCAACTGAGCTAACCGGGCGGCGGTCAAGTGTTTTCATTTCAAGGTCATACGAAAATCTCTCTACCAAAGATATCAAACTTCATACAATTCCTACCCTCTACAATACGGACAGTTCACTTATTCTTTAAGATACCAAACTTTTAAAAAAAATAGCTACCTTTATAATACGCACACCTCTCTATAACAGACAATCTTTCTTCTAAATTAACTGCTGCTTGAATAATATTATTATTGATATTTACCTCCTCTGCCAGCAGCCCCTACAACTTCATCACCGAAACCAAACTGTCCCATCAAGGGCCCTAACTGCCCTGACTGCAATGCAGAACTGAACATTCCCAGTGCCTGAAAATAAACACAATGTAATTAGTGCTGCCCGTGGAACAAGCAACAGGACCAAATCTACTTTGTGCCAAGGCCCTTCTTGGGACTTCTTGGTGGTGGTCCCACAGCAAGGGGTCTCGGGACGGGTAAAATCAGGAAGTACACTTCAGTTTTTCAAGTCAAGGCTTCCCATGTGCCTTTATGATTTTGAAGCTTTCCTGAGGTCCTTTGCACTGCATTCCAAAAATTCCCATGAACCACTGCACCATGACTACATGTACCAATTAAAGTGATGAAAACTTTGATAGAGTTCATGAAGGTCCCAAAAGGTTTTTCACGATTCAGGATTCCCCTTAATTGAAGTCAGGGTTTCAGGATTTTAAAGCATACTGGGGGCAAGATTTGGGAACGATTAGGGTTAGAGAAGAAAAATGGGTCCCCAAACACAATCCAAGAGGTAATTAGCATGCTTCTGTCCTATGATCACAAGAGCTCTTGTGATAACACAAAGAACATGCTATCTTCACAATTCATAGTTCATAAGTGTTTACAACAATGAGGTGGAAAGGTCTCTACAAACCTGCTGAAACTGCGGAGAACGCAGGGTGTTTGAAAGCTCAGTTGGACTCTGTGGCAGCTCTTCACCAGCAGGAAGGAAAGGAGCCAACTGCTCACGGAACTCAGGGTCTGCCAACATGGGCATCAGGGAATCAGGAGTGAAAACAGAGGACAAATCCACAGCTGGAATGACAACAAAACTAATCGTTTACCAAAATTTAGCAGTATTACTACAGCCAATTAACTGTACTGTTTGAGGTGAGTTGACATTCTTGACTTGATCCTCACAAAAAAATTCTTGCATAACTAAATTTTTGGGACAAGAATCACGTTAAATGCATTAAATTATGTTTCCAGAAATGAGGAGTATTGGAAGTGGTCAAATGCATCCAGAAATATAATTTGCTAAAAAAAATAAATTCAGAGTCGGAATTTGTTGAAATAATAAATTGATGAGACAAAGACAAAGTTAAGGTACACAGTTTACTTACATTCTCTGGGACGTTCATCATTTTCAGTGGGCACTATTAAGGAGAAAAATAAGAAAAAATAATTATTAGCTTTAACCCTTTTTATATGTGACAAATATTGAAAAATAGTGTAATTTCTGTCACATAGATTTGGCATAGAATATTAACTAAAGTTTGGTCTACAACAAACTAAGAAAGTTCCAGAGGATTTTTTTCCTGCATTAACCCCCCATTTCTGTAGTAAGAAGCACCTTACACCCTGATGTTCGAAGGCAGGTTAGCACTAACCCACAGTAAATTTTAATCTGGGGTTACTCTTTTTTTTGTGCAAAAACATTTTCTCCAATAATTTTCTCTAATCCTTTTGGAGTATCCAGTCATCAAACTTTAGACAGAGTTTTAGTTCTAGATACCTGAATTTTGAACTTAACCTGGGTTATCTTAACCCAGTTAGCTGTAAACAATCTGGCCCAGGAGTACTAGTATTGCCACCCTTAAATCCCAGGTTGTCACATGGTTAACCCCAGTGTTCAGTGCCCATTTATTCAACTGGGTGAAAGCATCTTGGGTGAAAAGAGAAAAATTGGAGCTACGGTTCTTGTCAAAAAAAGCAATGCAACAACAAGACTTAAAACCAGGACCTATAGATCCAAAGTTCAAGGTGTCCAGGCCTTCAATTATTGGCACCACATACCTTGCATATTGGACAGTATATTCTGCAAGTCACTCAGTTGCACTGCTTGCCGGGCAGGTGGCTGGCTTGGAGGCTGGCTTGGACGGGACGGTGCAGGAGGGGGCACAGTGGGAGTTGCTGTAGCTGGGCGTGGTGTAGTATTCCCTGATGAGGAGGCTGATGATGTGCTCCTTGGTCCAGGTGAGGATTGCACCCTGGTAGGCCTGTGATACCATTAATATAAAAGTTGAGACCTTAAAATCCAAGAACCGCAAGGGCAGAAAACTTTGTCAAAAAAAGAATTCACATTCTTTCAATTTTAATCTTGATTATTCCACCTCACTTTACTTACTTTTTCAAGTTTAAGAGGACTCATCTGGAGTTGAATTTGTAATAACCATATCCCAGTTCAAAAGAAGAAAGAAAATTTCATGGTGGCTTGTTTATCTCCTCCGTAAAATGTGAAATTAGGCTTCTGACATTAAACATTGTCGTCATGTGGTGACGGCAATGAAAAATTGACGTATTTAAAAAATGTGCTGCACATACAGAGTTGCTGTGTTGCATAATAAATCTATCGCTTTACCCATGTGGTTTGATTTTCAGCAGCCATTTGAGGGGAGGAGCGTTGCCAGCGTGACGCCACTAACAATGGCTGTGTAGCAGACTAATGAAAATAGGGGCTAAGGATCATTTAGGATGGAGAATATTATAAACCTGGATTCCAAATTAATAATCCAAATTTTTAGGCTAAGATCCCATGAGATGCAGCTGCAGCTCCTTTTGTAATAAATAACAGTGTGCATCATTATATATACCTCCTCTTTTAAAAACAGTTTAAAATAATTATTATGTAAAACAAACTCACGTAGGTGACGCTGCTGTAGGAGGACTTATAGAGCTTCCAGCACTGGAGAGCCCTCCATGACCCCCTAGGCCTCCGCCATAACCACTCAACAACTGAAGCAGCTGCTGCTGATCCAGATTACCCAGAAGGCCTTGCAACTGACTATCAGCTGTTGAGAAAGGAAGTAATTTGTCAATAAGGACTAAAACTCACAATTCCAGTTGAAAGTAAGTTACCACCCTTTGGCAAGAGGAAGACAAAACTGTGGTCTCCAGAGACAAGACTCTCATCTTGAGGAAATCAGATTCTCACCTTGAGGGACACAAGAGTTGTCTTGTGAGAGGATTAGAAACTGTAAGTACAAGTTGGTGGATTAAGCCTCACTTTTTGCAGGAATGTCTTGAGCAAAGTTATTTCCAAAGTTTCACTTCCTTGCATTGTAAAGTACATGTATATGTACTGTCCTAATAATTTTACATCTTCAAATGGGGCTAAAAATTGTCAATCTCACAGTCAACAAAGCAATTTTGAAAAGTTAACTAAGGTTTGATCACCTTACATACAACTATGATAAAAAAAGCTGTGCAATGCAAGTAAAGTGTGGTATTGCAAAGTATGGAGTAAAAATGAAAATAAAATAAAACACCTACCCAATTGTTCAGTAAGTCCAGGGGGGAGTACACCTCCACCACCACTCGACCCAGGGGTCGGTGGATTGTTGAGCAAGTTGTTCACTTTTGTAGTGTACTCTTCATCTTTGTCTGTCTTAGGTTCTTGCATCCAAAAAAAGAACTTGCGTGTGGATGACTTGAATTTCAGGATATAAACCCTCCCTGTAGTGCACTGCTTGACACGTTTGTACTCAATGTCATCAGGGAAGATGATAAGATCCTGTTAAAAAAATGTTGAAAATTTTAGCAGTGTAGGGCAATAATTATTGTAGGGTATAAGTTTGGAATCACAAGGTGTTCAAGATTTGTAAAAATGATGTGAGTAGTAATTTATTGATTCCCTTCGTCAAGAACATTAATATTTCTGTACCCTCGAAAGTAACCACCGAGCTTACAATGGCGAAAAACAAGTTCAAAGAAGGAGAACTAAAGAGTTATAACGAAAAGCTTATGGTCATAGTTTTGGCTTTCGTTACTTTTTTGGAAACGTTGCTCAGTAATGGAAATAACTGTAACCCCTTCAGTCCTATTATATAATAAATTTTGTTGAAGTTATGATTAATTGGTAACAGAACTTCGTGTTGTCCAGGGGTCGTGATTAAACAAATCGGACTTCCGCTACGCGGTTGTCCGATTTTGTTAATCACTCGTATGATTACAGACCGAATTGGACTCCACTCAGTCCTGTTACCATTACATATATAAGCTTACACAGTCAAACCTGTGTACAACGGTCACCCTAAGAAAATGGCAAGGTGACCGTTATATACAGGACACCTTTGCAGAAAATATAAGGCAACTGAAAATTTTGGGAAGTTGTCCGGTGACCGTAATATACCGGTTGACCACTATATACTGGGCAGTTATTGACTGTGTGCTTCCTAATAGTTCATTTGTCGCTTTTATTACCAGTAATATCTTTCAGTTCCAACAACAGTACACACTTTCACGTTGAAACTCCCAGTTTATATTGATTAGTGTCGACAATAATCACTTAATCGATATTTATCAATTTGGGACAATAGTCGTGATAAATTTCATTCCTTTAGACAAGGACATCTTAGTTAGTCCTTTGTACCGTCAAAAGTTAGCACAGAAAGCTTGTACTAGAGTTAAACAAGTTCTAAAAAAGGACAAAAGTGTTATGATGAAAAGGTTATTGTCACATTTTTCTTACGTCTTCGACAGTTCCCGCGCTGCGGTCCTTCCAACAAAAGTGCATCAGTGAGTCATCACTTTGATATATATACACCAATCCTTTCCTTTTGTCTGGCGTAACAGTTGAGCCCTTCATAGTCATCTTCCCAGCTCGAAATTCGACGAGATTTTTCGAAGAAGACCTCCCGGCATGGCCGAACAATCCTTGGCTCGCCATGTTGAACCGCAATGAGTCAGGTCCTCGCGGATTAGGACTGGAACTACTGTGCGGCAAAGACTGGGGACGAACATAAGCGGCCGCGTCCAAAATGGCGGACGAAACCAGGGAAAGCGTGAATGGAATGATTCAGAATAAATCTAACGTTTGGATGCATGATGAAGATATCAAACTCTTGGAAAAAGTGGAGGAGCACTTGGGGAACGTTTCGGAAGAGAAAAACTTATACATCAAGGACATCGTGTGGAGTGAAGTGAGGTTGGACGGACGCGATGAAACCGAGGTTCACAAACGCTGGAACACTTTAACTTCCAAAATTCGAAAGATGAGAACTGCTAATGAGATCTTAGAGGACGCGAAGAAGAAAGTGGCCGATCAAAAAAAGACAAGAAAAAGGAAAAGAGACGACAGAGATCCGTCACTTCCGAAGATGCCATTAACCGCTTATCTCCTGTTCTGCGAACAAAAGCGACCACGCTTGGCGCAAAAGTACGGCAACAAGGAGGTGATGGGAAAACTGGCGAAAAAATGGAGCAAACTCTCTGATGAGAAAAAAGAAAAATACAAGGAAATGTACCGGGAAAGTCGTCAAAAGTACGAGCATGATATCGTTCAGTATTATATCGACCATTATCCTAACGAGACACCGCCAAAATCCGCATTTGATCTCTGGTCTTTAGACAAGGCAGCCGAGATTAAAAAATCACGTCCGGACATTTCAGAGAAAAAACTGAGAAAAAAGCTTAAGAGGTATTGGGAACAGCTAGAAGAGAAGGAGCAGTGGGAGAAAAAGGCAAAGAAAGAAGTGGTCAAGTTCATAAGAGCAATGAAAAGGAAAGGTTGAGTTTGTGGTTCTTGTTATTGTAAAAAATGGATTTTTTTATTTGGAATTCTACACTAGAAAGCTATAGACTTCAGAATACATGGCAAGTCATAACCATATACCAACAAAGTGACTCTTTTGGCTTGTTTAAATCTGCTGCCAAGCCAGAACAAACCACTGACCAGATATATTATGTTGATATATGTTGCGAGTAAATTTTATCCTTTGTGGGAGCTCCTTGGTTGGTGCTCACTGGCAAGAGGTCCCGGTTCAGGCTGCTTATCTCACAATTAGTGTGTACGTCACGCAACCTCCAGATGTCATTGTGGGTACCGAAAAATTTCTTTTTAGGAGTGACAGATTTAACACTAGGAGTAACCCCAGGATGGACCAACTTTTTTTTTAAGGGTGGGAATACAAGTATTCTTAGTTGCTTCATGCTAAACTGCATTAGTTAAGCTGCAGCTTTATGAGCCACTTTACTCAAATGCCACAATTTTAGCCTTGGTTAATAACCACATTTCCTTACCGCAACAAAGAAAGTGAAATTTAAACCAAGGACAAAATTGAACCACGACATATGGAGCCACCAGTGTAACATTACTATTGACGCAAGATTTTCTGTAACAAGACAAACTAACCCAACTGAGCCGCCAATACATAGAAGTAATTAAGATTTGACCGGCATTTTAAATTCAATGTACATATTATTTGTTTTTTACTGACTTCCAAGCCGTTGATATAAAGTGGATTGAGACTTGCATACTTTCAAGTACTTTCTTATTCTTTATATCAATGCCGAAGACAAGCAGCTGCCAACATAAACAGCTTCAAAATAGTCCTGTTGCTCCTAAAATAATGGAAAAATGACAACCAGTCGCAATGGTAAAAGGCCCCAAAATATCAGTCATTTTAAGGATCTGAAACTTCAAGGACAAGTGACCACCAATTTTGAAGAAACTATTCATTTTGACTCAGAAAAAAGTACCATTGTCTTAAACTGTAGTTTGGGCACTTAAGGTATCTGCACAGGCAAATTTTGCACATTTTTGTATCATTTTTAGTGGTTGTTTTATGGATAATATCTATATGTCACTACATTGACAGTATTCCTCAGTTCTTGAGGAACTAGAATATATCAAAATAAACTATGTTATGTCACCCAAAAGGTGTTAATTTAATTGCCCCCTAGGGTGACACGGAAAGAGAAAAATCAAAATTTCAGAAGAATCCTTAGAGTTATTGTTAAAAAAGAAATGTAACACAAATAAGGACGTAAGATAGAATAATTCTGTGTTTGACTACGACACAGCTCCAATTAATCCAGCCTCTAGGGCACAATTTGCTATTTTGTAATTTGACCCATATTTTGACATCAATAACTCAGCTGTACGGCAATTCTAACCTTTAGTCAAACACAGATCTGTTCATTAACATGCTCTTTGTGTATTTGCCAAATTTCACAAAGAAATAATGGTAACAAGGTAACAGAGTAACAAGGTAACAAGGTAACAAGGTAACAGAGTAACAAGGTAACAAGGTAACAGAGTAACAAGGTAACAGAGTAATAAGGTAACAGAGTAACAAGGTAACAAGGGAACAGAGTAACAGAGTAACAAGGTAACAGAGTAACAAGGTAACAGAGTAACAGAGTAACAGAGTAACAAGGTAACAAGGTAACAAGGTAACAGAGTAACGAGGTAACAAGGTAACAGAGTAACAAGGTAACAAGGTAACAGAGTTACAAGGTAACAAGATAACAAGGTAACAGAGTAACAAGGTAACAAGATAACAAGGTAACAAAGTAACAGAGTAACAAGGTAACAGAGTAACAAGGTAACAAGGTAACAAGGTAACAGAGTAACAAGGTAACAAGGTAACAGAGTAACAAGGTAACAAGATAACAGAGTAACAGAGTAACAAGGTAACAAGGTAACAGAGTAACAAGGTAACAAGGTAACAAGGTAACAGAGTAACAGAGTAACAAGGTAACAGAGTAACAAGGTAACAGAGTAACAAGGTAACAAGGGAACAGAGTAACAAGGTAACAGAGTAACAAGGTAACAAGGTAACAGAGTAACAAGGTAACAAGGTAACAGAGTAACAAGGTAACAAGGTAACAGAGTAACAGAGTAACAAGGTAACAAGGTAACAAGGTAACAGAGTAACAAGGTAACAGAGTAACAGAGTAACAAGGTAACAAGGTAACAGAGTAACAAGGTAACAAGGTAACAAGGTAACAGAGTAACAAGGTAAGAAGGTAACAAAGTAACAAGGTAACAAGATAACAGAGTAACAAGGTAACAAGGAAACAAGGTAACAGAGTAATTAGCAAACAAGGAAACAGATCAACAAGTTAACAGAGAACAAAGCTTTAAGGCAACAAGGAAACAAGCAGAAAGAGTGAAGGTATAAGTTAATTAGGTAAAAGCGGTACAATATATGTCCCCATACATGAAGTACCTACCCCTTCTTGCCCGCCATTTTGAATCACCGCTGTGTAAAATGCTCGTGGAAGCCTAAGAAAATGCCAAATGACCTCTCTATAGCCCCCTTGGATTTTGATACGTGACCAGTTGCTAGGTGTGACGTATTTCCGGAAGATGCGTTACTCAGTGTCAGCTTTAATGCAGTGAAGCGCGCCGAAGTATGAAGATTGAAGAAGAGTTTTATTCAAAATTGAAAAGAATTGCTTCTGTAAAGTGAAAGAAATTGGCAGAAAAACAGACCAGAGGATTAGGGGCCAAGAAAACGTTTTACTCTCCCGGCAAAATTGTCAGAATATATCAGGTGAGAAGACACACCGATGTAATGTAAATTTAAAACAATATTAAGCCCTGGAAAACGGAGTATATTTCAAGAACATAACGAATTTTGACAAGAAGCAAGTAATATTAGTCATCACAGCTTTAACAGAAGGAAGAAAAATCAAGTTGGACATACAGCGGCTGTAGTTTGGCAATGAATCCAAGCAGTGAATAGATTTTGTTCAGCGCATCAATAGAACTTGATGCTGGAAAGAGGAGTCAAATTGCGCTCCTGCCGTCCATTTTCTTAGTAACGGAAATGACAATTTTTCTTTAACTTCCGGTAAATCAGTCAACTTTTGAGTAGATTTTCTCTTTAATGCGAAGGTATATTCAAAAAAGAACACCAGATATGCATATTACATCATCTGAACTTACTGTAGAAAGATTTTGAGTGCAAAATAAAATGTTGAAAATTTGCCTGTGCAAATACCTTAAAGCAAAGTCAAAAACTGAGCTTTAAAAATGTATTATAATATGTAACTTTACCTCTGAAGGACAAGTAGCTTAACTCTTCTTGTTATGATGGTTCTGTACTGTAGTTTTTCCTTGTCTTTTGCTTCCAGTGCTATCTTGCTGTTGCTAAAAGCCTGTGTGTCACTGAAGTAATGTTGCCTAAGTTGATGTTTAACTCAGACCAGAACTAGACTTTATTGGTAAGGGAGGGAGATACAGGGGTCACCAAAATAATTATTCCTTTTTTATTTGAGTTTAATTAAAACTCAGTGTTCTCTTGCCTTTGACGCTCTATGAGGGAGACAGCTCACCTTAGATTTTTCAGTAACATGCTAGTCAATGCTTAGAATTTGCAGATAACGACAGCACTAGTTATGAGCTTGGAAAAATTAAATTTCAACATTTTTAGATATATTTTGTCAGGGCTCACCAGAGGTTCCAGCGACCAGCAAAAGTTAGTTCTAGTTGTCATGAAAGCACTGGCAGCTCTCCAAAAATAGTTATTTTTCAATAGGGAAATAAATCTTTTGTAGTTTTTTCACAATACCCAAATTGGATGAAAACAAACATACAATATAAAATAAACCAAATGGGGGTAAATAAAGGTGCTATTCTCCTGGCTAAAATTACCTCTCTGATCACTCAAAAAGTACTGAAATTCACTTTACAGGATCCCCAATTTTTTTTCCCTGGGGAACCCCTGTCCTCCTCTAATGGAAGGGGAGCAACCCCCCCCCCTTCTTATGACCCCCACTCTTGATGCAGCCTGCTTAAACATTTTTGCTACTTCTTCTTTAAGTGTTCTGAAGAACTTTGATTTTTGTGTACATAATGTAAGTCTGCTTTTCCCAAAAGTCATGTAACAGATTTTTAATAGTCACTCAAATTACAAATTAGTTTTTGTAGAAGTCCAG